AATTACGGTGCTACTTAAATGTGATTCGTTAAGCGTAATTAAACGTGTGGAGATCTCAATCATGTGAAATTTGTTTAGCCGTTGAGTGGACTTTATAGCCAGTTTGGCTGATTTGAATTTAGTTGAGCAACTGGAAAAGTTATATAAAGTGATCAAGGAGAGGGACACTATTTCACACTTGCACTGTCAAATTATAGTTCCAAGATTAATAATTGATTTGATATCACTTCAAAACCTTCAAAGGAAAGTAGAGCTTGAGGAATTGCAAAAAATTAATGGTATAAAAGATAAGGCAAATTTCTTAAAACCTGAAATATGTTGTCCCAGATTCAAGGTCTTAATTTTTTAAGCCTTTACCTTCCAGAAGTGATTAACATGTATCTTCCCCCCACAATATTCATACATTACCCAGCAAACAGTTAATGAGAATATTCAATTTTTTACTAAATAGTACGATACTTTAATTAACTTGGAGTTTACACCTAACGTTACCAGCTTAAGTTTATGGGTGATCATGGTCTTATCAAGTAGAAGTTGTTGTCCTGATCAAATATCAAATTCTGATAACTATTTTCCAAGGAAATCTGTAGCAGGTAGAAGGGGGACTAATCAGTTAGATCTTGGAGGTGAAAGAGTTCTTTGTACGGAAGTTTCATTTACATACATGTAGAATTTTTTTACCCTAAAATTATTGTTGAGATGAATTTGCAGGCATGAATTTGTAAACAGGATTTCTGACTTAATTTTCATATGGCTGCTTGCCATACCCTCTTTGGATTGTTTTTGTGAATCAATAATATGGTCAGTTCATTACATTGTGAAATATTAAACAATTTGATATCATAAATGAAACTGGAGAAGCATTCATTATTTTTATTTACCTCTTGTACAAATTGCAAATGTAGGACTTAGTCCACTGAGTGACCCAACATATTCCTTATAAAAACATGCTCTGTTCTTTAAAATACAAAATCCTTTTCAAAGCTTCGAATGAAAATTTTCATTTTTGTTTAACCTGTTGTGTTAGGCCTTAATCTTCCCCCAGGGAGGCTACTCAAGGAAAGTTTGATTGCACATGTGCATGGTGGTGTTAAAACTTTAACTCCCTAGAATCGACTAGTAATTCTCCCTACTGAGTGCCAATATTTGTTGTGAATTAGGCAAGGAATTTGGTGTGACATCGAGATAACATTAAGTAATGGATAAGCTTTTCTGTTCTCTTAACCTGCTTACAAGAGAAAATTGACCTTAGT